AGCAGCTGCAGCAGCACGGCGATGGCAGTGCAGCTGGCGGCGAGCGGGATGAGGTGAAGGCATTTGTGGCGTCGTTCCAGTCGCTGTGTCGCGAGGTTGGACCCGATGTGCTTGAGACGTACACCAAGGCCAACGACCTGGATGCGTTCCTGAATGCAGACGGCATTGGCGCGCTTGTTGAGCGCGTGTGCAGCGAGGAGTCGGCCACTGCTGTTGTGGAGCAGCTGTGCGCACGCGGCAAAATGCCCGTGGACGTGACGTCGCCCCGCTTCCGCAAGATGCGCGTGCCGCAGATGGTGCGTAAAGTTGTGTGTGTGTGTGTGTGTGTGTGTGTGTGTGTGGTGTATGTGTGTGCATGTGCGTGTGTTTGTGCATGTGCGTGTGATGTTGGGCATGGGGGCGTATTCGCCACGCAAGCAACTTAGGTCTGCTTGTTGTACACTCCTGTTGTTGTCTCGAGCTGACTTCTGCGTTCGTCGCCATGCCCCTCTGCCCCATAGGCTCGCACGAGGCGCAATACTGTCACTACCTCCTACAACTGCACAAGTGGCTGCGACGAGAACTGCAACAGGTGCCTTGATGACGGCACAAATCTCTTCGATGTTCGCGCACTCGCTGATATGTTCACGCACTCAACACAGCTGCTCAAAAGGGTTGTCTTGGTGTGATCCTCCTTCAGCAACTCACCTCACAGCAACATGCATCTGCAACCTATCCGTTGCCCTTTACAAACAGGTTCACGTGCCAGTGCGATGAAGGCTGCACCACAACGTGTAACGAGGGCTGCACAGACTGCAATGAAAGCTGCGATGGTCAGCAGTGCGATTCGAGCTGCGATTCGAGCTGCGACGGCGAAACGTACGTCTGCCGTGCCATTGACAGCCTGTCTTACAGCAATGATCACTCTTCCCCCTCCCCTGCCCTTTGCTGTCTGCCGTGTGAATTCTCATCCGGTCATCTTCGGTCATTTGCCTTCACCTCTCAACAACACAGGTGTAACACAGGCTGTGATGCAAGCTGCGACAGGTACTTGTGATCCTGATGAACATGCTTGCTCGCTTGCTTGCAGGCATGCATTGAACGTCGCTTGACTTGCTTGCTCGCCTGCTTGTGGGGGGACCTTTGCCGCATTCGCTCAACACAGTATTGGCATTCTCACCCAACATCATGCACACGCGCACGCACACGCACATGCACAGCACACAATGCTACGGCAGTTGTGATATTTGCATCGGCTGCACCAGTGGATGTGATGACAGCTGCGACAAGTGAGACATATCCTGTTTCTGCCATGGAGGTGTTGCTCTGCTTGTTGTTCCGCATGCTGGTTCAAAACAACGCCGTTTCCGCAACTCACTTCTTGAGCTTTGCTGTCTGCAGGTCGTGTGATGCCTCCTGTGACTTGGTCGTGTTTTCTTGTGACTCTGGATGTGATCAAAGCTGCGATTCAGGTGTGCAAGAATACCGTCAGTGTATTGATGACCACATGGTGCCGCTCCATGATGTCTCTAGCCCGTGTTTTCTCGCACAAACACTTCCCCATGTCTGCGACCAGCCGACCACCCGTCCAGCTCTGCCCATGTTCTCACATGTGACAATGATGTCGCCTTTTTGACCATGTACTCGTGCAACGCGCAGGCTGCGACGACAACTGCAACAACTGCTACGCCGGCTGTGATTCCAGTGCGTGTCATCACCTGCCTGTTTGTGTTGGCACACAGCCGCGCTTGGCAACGCAAGTCTTCTTTATCCCACATCATCAGCTCATTACACAGCCGGTCTTCGCGCAACCAACCCACTTGTCACCCACTCACACGCACACGCATGTCCACAGATTGCATTCCAACGGACTGTGACGCCGACTGCGACGGAACATGTGCGTGCTGAGGGCTTCACCTCCTGCTGTATCGCTTATTTCGCTCTGCTGTGTGGTTCTTTGAGCACTCTCACATGCACGCGTGCACGCACGCACGTACGTACATGTGCATTGTTGTTTGCTGCTGCTCAACGCCGCTGTTCACGTTGTTGTTTTGTTTCTGTTTCACTCAGGTGTCAAGGACCAAGACTGCGACGCCGATTGCGATGGCTGTGAGTTATGCAGTTCCAATCCTGGTTGTATAGCATGTGACACTGCACAGAAAGCTGATTGCTTGTGTTGACGACGACCTTGTCGCTTTCCTGTACTGTCAATGGCATTAATTGCATTCTCGCTGATCTGTGCTTTCTCTCTCTCTCTCTCTCTCTCTCTCTCTCTCTCTCTCTCTCTCTCTCTCTCTCTCTGTGCTGCGATGTGATGCTGTGTAGCCTGCACTCCCACCAGCTGCGACACGTCATGTGATGGGCCTTGCAACAGGTGGGCTCGTGTAGTCGTGTCAGGCTGTTGAGGAACGTTGTGTGAGCAACCATGAGATCAGTGAGCCTGAGAGGGTGTTGCGAGGCAACACCACCGTCACTGTAATGGCATGATATCGCATCTCCCATCAGTGCCGATTCCGCGTGTGTTTTCGCCTTCCAAACACCACACCTACTTCTCGAGTTGTCGTATTGACATCTCACCTCGACCTTCTTCTACTTGCCTCTCGCCTGCTTCACCCACTCCGCTACAAACACACACACACACACACACACACACACACACACACACACACACACACACACACACACACACACACACACACACACACACACACACACACACACACACAAACACTGTCCTCTCCCCTGCAGTGGCTGTTCGACGACCTGCAACACGGGCTGCGATGGCTGTCCTGACTTGAGCTCCTGCACAGGCAGTTGCGACGAAGGCTGCTCTTGCAACCCTGGCTTTGCCGGCTCGGGCCAGGCCTGCGAGGCGTGCCCAACCGGCACATACGCAAGCTCGTCTGGCCAATCAACCTGCACTCCTTGCTCTTCCTGCCCCTCTGGTCAGTACCGCGTCAACTGTGGAGGCAGCAGTGCCGGCACGTGTGGCGCTTGCCATGCCTGTCCGCCTGGCGAGCAGCGGGTTGGATGCGAAGGAACCAACGCTGGCACGTGCGCAGCCTGCCCTTCAGGGTATGTGCATGTGCATCTGTGTGTGTGTGTGCATCTGTGTGTTTGTGGGTGTTTGTGTGTGCGTGTGTATGTATGTGCTTGTATGTGCACTGACTCTTGTGTGCATCTGTTGTGCGTCGTGTCCTTCGTGTGTTGCTCTTGTTTCGCGTCTGCATCCTGAGCTCACCCAACAACATGCGTGCACGTTGTCCGCCGCCTCGATTCTCATTGGACCCCCTTGGTCTGCTTCCAGAACTTACAAATCGACACAAGGAAACGGCGCGTGCTCATCTTGTCCTGCGTGCGACCCTGGCTTCACGCGCGTGGAGTGTCAGGGAACAAGTGCTGGCCACTGCGTCGGCACAACCTGCGATGTGCCGCCATCCTCCTCCAACACGGCTGTGTCCGTGTCCAATGATGGCATCTACCCAAGCACCGCCACATACACGTGCAGTGCCGGCTATGAGCTTCAAGGCTCCAACACCCTCACGTGCTCTGTGTCGGGGGACTGGGAAGGTGATGTACCCCAATGTGTTGGTGTGGAATGTGATGGTATCCACGTTGACAACGGCATCGTCACTCCGTCCGGAACCATCAACTACCCGAAAGTTGCAGGTGAGTCAACATTGATCAGCGCGTGCCTATTTATGTGTGTGAGAGTATGCGTGCGTGCATGCGTATTTGTTTGTGCTTGAGTGAGTGGGCGGGTATGCCTCCTGTCATCTTTAATATTGTCCTCTGACGTACCATCCTCTTATCTCCGTTTGCACACACGCACACACGCACACACGCGCCAAACCTTTGATTGCACGCTCTGCGCAGCTTTCTCGTGCAGCACTGGGTACGTGCTGATGGGAGCGACGTCTGCGCAGTGCCAGGCGGACGGCACGTGGTCGTCGCCCGCACCGACATGTGTTGGGCGGCTGTGCACCCTGCTGGACACCCCAAACCACGGCAGCGTCTCGTACACAAACAACCGCCAGTACCCGTCCACAGCTACATACACGTGCCAGGCTGGGTATGAGCTGAGCGACACGGGGGATGCGCAGCGCAGCTGCATTGCCAGCTCGGGCGGATTTGGCGGCACGGCGCCATCGTGTGTGGGGGTGCTATGCAACCCACTGGGCGACCCGCAGAACGGGCACCTGCGCCTGAGCTCGACGCCAGCGCGGTACCCGGCGACGGCGGAGTTCTCGTGCGTGCCCGGATACGAGCTTGTTGGGCAGGCGCAGCTGTCGTGCAAGACGGACAAGACGTGGTCTGCGCCTGCGCCGACGTGCCGTGGAGTGCTGTGCACGGCGCCGAGCATTGACCACGCGCAGGTGTCGGCGACATCTGGGCGGTACCCTGCTGATGCGAGCGTGACGTGTGCACCTGGGTATGGGCTGGTTGGCGCGTCGACGCTGTCGTGCCGCACGGACGGGACGTGGGGCGAGCTGCCCTCGTGCCAGCTGTGCCCGGCCAACTCGTATGCGCCGTCGCCGACACAGCCGTGTGCTTCGTGCCCTTCTGGCACGTCGACCAACGGGCAGACGGGTGCGACCAAGTGCGAGTGCATTGCTGGACACGAGCCCAGCGGCGACGGAAGCACCTGCGTTCCCTGCCAAGGTGAGATGATGACGCAAGTGTGTGTGTGCATGTTGGAGAAGGATCTGTGTTGCTGTGAGGTCATGGCGAATGTTGCAGCGACGCAGCGACGTCCTTGTGCTTGCATGCACTCGCACCTGATGTTGTCTCACATGTTCCCTGTGTGCCTCACGCCCAATGCGCTCTGTTGCGTGCTTGTGCGAACATCATCATCATCATCACCACCATCATCACCGCCGCATGCCAGCCAACCACTTCACACGCCCAATGCGCTCTGTTACGTGCCTGTGCGAACATCATCATCATCATCATCACCACCATCATCATCACCGCCGCGTGCCAGCCAACCACTTCAAACCGGACTTTGGCTCCGTGTCGTGCCAGCAATGCCAATCTGGGTTCCAGACTGAGAACGGCGACTTTACCCGCTGCGTCGGTGTCCCTTGCGACCCCGTGCGCGACGTGAGTCTTCTCCATGCATGTGTGCGTGTGTGTGTGTGCATGCACGTTAGGCTGTGGGGTGCATGGAGAAGTCCAGGTGCATGTTTCGGTTGCATGCAGGCAAGCACGTTGCCTGCAGGCAAGCGAGACAAGCAAGGGTGTGTGGTTATTCATTGTGCTACACTTGACCGTCCTCACATTTTGTGTGCGTGTGCCCCTTGTGTACTGCACGTCCCTCCCAACCCCATGCAGATTGAGAACGGCGACCCAGAGAACACCATGATGCACCGGTACCCGGCCACTGTGTCGTATGAGTGCGACACGGGGTTCCAGCTTGTTGGCGATGTCAGTTCCATTACCTGCCAGACAGATGGCACGTGGTCTGCGCTTCCCTCGTGCACCTACATCTGCGGCGATGGTACGGCAATGTTGTCCTTACTTGCGTACCCATGTTTGGTGTGTGTGCGTGTGTGTGTGTGTGTGTGTGTGTGTGTGTGTGTGAGTGCGTGCGTGCGTGTGTGGGGGGGGGTATGTGTGCATATTGTCTGCAGGCAAGTGACAAGCTTTGTCTGGACACACACACACACACACACACACACACACACGCACACACACACACACACACACAGACGCACACACATACGCAAGCACATCTACACTCCGCTTGCTGTTTCATCCTTGCTCACAATTCAACGCCGACTGCTCCTCACATGGGTTGCTCGTTCGCGTTCGTCCAACACTGCTGGCACGTGTGCATGTGCATGCAACTAGACCTCGTTGTTGACGGGGAGGAGTGCGACGACGGTGGTCACAACAAGACCGTGGGATGCTCGTCCACGTGCCAGCTGGAGCGCCTTCATTCATGTGTTGATGGCAGCACCGCTGCGTGCGTGTACTGCAACTTCACGTCGCGGCCGGAGCGGCTGGTGCTTGCGTGCGACGACCCCATGCTGGACACAAAGGTGCAGACGTGGGCAGACGCAACCGGCAACGCAGAGGTGCTGGACCACGAGCACTGCGGCGACCCCTCACTGTCGTACGTTGCGGGGAAGCCGCGCGGCACGGTGCCTGGCTGCTATCACAAAGTGTACGCATTCACAGCTGTGTTCGATGGCGGCCAGGTGATGGAGACAGTAGCTGGTGTTGTGCGCGTGTACGACGACACCAAGCCGACGTTCCAAGACCCGCCGTCATCCACAACAGCAGACTGCCACAGCGTCCCCGCCTTTGCGGATGTGTCGGCATCGGACACGTGCATGACGTCGTCGCCCGCAGTGAGCAAGCAGGAGGTGCGGACAGACGGGGCGTGCCCGTACGCATACACGCTGACGCGGACGTGGACAACGCAGGACGCGTGCGGCAACGAGAACGCGGCGACGCAGGTTGTGACGGTGCAGGACGTGACCAAGCCGACGTTCACCACGCGGCCCACAGACCGGGTGCTGGAGTGCTCTGCGGACGTGGACGCGGACATTGAGGCGCTGCGCATGAAGCACGTGGACGCAGCAGCATCGGACCTGTGCTCCGACACGCTGTCGTTTGAGACGGTTGAGACGGCGCGGGACCTGAGCGGGTGCGGCAGCACGGGCCAGGTGTCGCTGAAGGTGACGGTGACCGACGAGTGCGGCAACCCGCAGGAGGAGACGGTGACCGTCGACGTGGTGGACAAGACAGCCCCAGTGCCCGTGAACGTGCCTGCGGATGTGACGGTGGAGTGCTCTGCGATCCCGCCCATTGCAGATGACGTGCATGCGAGGGACGCGTGCGGGCTGCGGCGCGTGAATGCGACGGCGAGCGAGGAGCGGCAGGACGGGCCGTGCCCGCACAGCTACGACCTGCTTCGCACATTCACGTTTGTGGACGCGTGCGACAACCCGGTGAGCAGGACGCAGCGGGTGACGGTGCAGGACACGACGGGCCCCGTCATCACGCGGGACGCCGACGACCTGGAGCTGGAGTGCAGCGCAGAGCGCAACGACGCCACGATTGCGGCGTGGCTGGCGGTGAACGGCGGCGCGCAGGCCATGGACGCGTGCAGCGGCGTGCACACGCTGACGTGGACGCACGACTACGACCCGCAGTACTACGAGGTGTTCCCTGGCGGCTGCAGCGTGGGCACCGGCCAGGTGCTGGTGACGTTCACGGTTGCGGACGAGTGCGGGCGCACCAGCACGGTGAACGGCAGCATCAAGATTGTGGATACGCGGGAGCCCGCGTTTGTTGCGCCGCTGCCGCCGCTGACGGGGGCGTGCGACGCGGTGCCGCAGGCGACGGTGCCGCAGGCGTACGACAACTGCACGGGGGAGGTGACGCCGACGCAGACGACGACGCGGATGGACGGCGACTGCCCACACCAGTACCACCTGATCCACTCGTGGGTTGCGGAGGACGAGTGCGGCTGGACAACGACGACGCAGCAGACGGTGACGGTGACGGACGCTGCGGCGCCCACCATCACCAAGCAGAGCGCAGACAGGACGGTGGAGTGCTCGGTGGCGGACAACGAGGCGCAGCTGGATGCGTTCCTGGCGGAGCACGGCGGCGCGCAGGCGACGGAGGTGTGCGGCGGCGTGACGTGGCTGTACTCTGACGTGGACACGGTGCTGGATGTGGCGCAGGGCGCGTCTGGGGACGTTGTGAAGCAGGACGGGTGCGGGACGACGTTTGCGGCGACGGCGCACTTCTATGCTGTTGACGAGTGCAGCAACGCGGCGAAGACGACGGCGACGTTCACTGTGCAGGACACGCTGGCGCCCGTGCTTGACACGCCGCCGGCGGCGTCAATTGACGCGTCGTGCGATGCGGTGCCCGCGCTGAGGAACATCAGCGCAACGGACATGTGCGCGGGCGCGCTGGTGGCTGTTGCCAGCGAGGAGCGGCTGGACGGGCGGTGCACGCACACGTACACGCTGTCGCGGACGTGGATGGTGCAGGACCCGTGCGGGCACATGACAACCAAGTCGCAGCTGGTGCACGTGGACGACAGCGCGGAGCCCGTGATCACCAAGGAGGCGGAGGACCTGGTTGTGGAGTGCAACGCGGAGACGGACAGCGTGATTGCGGCGTGGCTGGAGGCGCACGGCAACGCGGCGGCGGCAGACGCGTGCGACCGGGAGCTGACGTGGCAGCACGACTTTGAGAGCGTCAAGTACCTGCTGCAGTACGGGTGCGGGTCGAACGCGGTGAACGTGACGTTCACGGTGATGGACGACTGCGGCAACGCGGCTGAGACGCAGGCGCGTGTGGTTGTGCAGGACACGACGGCGCCGTTCTTCACGCAGCTGCCGAGCGACGACCGCGCGGAGTGCGACCCGACGACAAACCAGAACACGCTGGATGTGTTCCTGGCGGCGTACGGCGGCGCGCGGGCGTCTGACGTGTGCGGCGGCGTTGTTGGGCAGGACGTGGCGTGGTCGTACGCGGTGGACCTGCAGACGGTGTGCGGCAACGCGTACGACAGCGTGGTGACGTTTACGGCGACGGACCACTGCGGCAACAACGTGAGCGCGACGGCGACAATGGCGTTTGAGGACACGCAGAAGCCCGTGATCAAGCTGCGGGGCGCGGATCCGCAGCTTGCGCAGGTTGGGTTCCCCTGGCTGGACCCCTCTGTGGACCTTGCTGCGGACCGGTGCCACCAGGAGCTGACGCCGTTTGTTGAGGTGGTGAACCCGCCCAACACGACGCAGGTCGGCAACGTGACGGTGTTCTACCGGGTTGAGGACGCGTGCGGGTATGTTGGGCTGGTGAACCGCACTGTGTACATTCGGGACACGCTGCCACCAACGTTGGAAGTGCTGGGTGCCAAACGGATGTACGTGTCGGCTGGCAGCTTGTTCCTGGATCCTGGCGCCGCTGCCACAGATGCATACTCACGCGGCACGGACATTGTCACGCACGCCTTTGATGGTGGCGTGGACATTGGCAGCGTGCGGAACGCAGCACTCGATGGGAACCGTACCTCCTTCACCATTGTTTATCGTGCTGCTGACCTGAGCGGCAACACTGTGCTGCGGTATGGCAGGCACGTGCGCGTGTTGCCGCCACCGTCGCCTCTGCTGCCAGCAACTGCGCAGGTGTCACTGCACTTTTCCCGCAGCATCGTGCTGTCTGCAGAAGCAGGAGACGATGCACCGTCTTCTGGGGAACCCACGCCGTCCGAAGGGTCGCCAGCGTTCACATATACGCGCCTGGTGACGCCTGTAGCGGACGCAGACTCCGGCAGCGTCACGCTGTCCGTATTTGAAGCAGAAGGCCTGTCCACTTTGCTGGGTGGTGAGGTGCATGGTGTGCAGGTGGAGGATCCGAGCACGACGCTGAAGGAGGTGGCGGTGGTCCTTGGTCCCGTTTCTCCAGACGTGGTTGCATCCGCGCGGGCCTCAGACGCCATCGAAGCCATGTCCACCCCCGTGCGTGTGCGGTCGTTTCACGGTTCCGTGCGCACTGCTTCGGGCCAGTGCAGTGGCAAGAGCGGCGTGGAAGATTCACTGGCGCGCGTTGGACGCAGGCTGGTGTCTGCTCAGTGTGACGGCTGTCTGTGTATCTTCACCACGAACGACCCTGCCCGCACGCTGACGAGCTCCGTTGCGTTTGATGCCATGGCTCTGGAGCAAACTGTGCAGCACCTGGTCACTGTGCAGTCGTCGACAGGGTCTGCCTTGAACCTTGTGACGCTTCGCCTTCGCCTGCAGCAGCTGGGGGTGGTCCCCGTCCGCCTTGTGCACAAGAATCAAGGGCAGGCCCAGGTCATGTTTGTCGCGCGCACACCGCTGCCTTCGCACGAAGACCTTGATCAAATTGCGCGTGTGACGCTGGTGAGCAACCAGCCCATTGTCGGCACCCGCATCACTGCTGATATTCACTCGGACACCAGCAACGTCACCATTCTCTCCCGCCTGTACGCCCTTGGCATCGTTCCAGACTCCATGCAACTAGGTGTGTGTGTTGTTTGTTTGTTTGTTTGTTTGTTTGTTTGTTTGTTTGTTTGTTTGTTTGTTTGTTTGTTTGTTTGTTTGTTTGTTTGTTTGTTTGTTTGTTTGTTTGTTTGTGTATGTGTGTGTGGCTGATCACGTGTAGTGGTTTATTTTGGCTATTTCGTGGTTCAGTTTGCCCATTGTTTTATCACGCACCACGCCAACGAACGCGACCTTCTCATGCCATCCACCCCATATGTCTTTGTTTGCGTGTGTGTGTGTGTGTGTGTTGCGGTGGTTGACAGTGAGCTCTGAGAACGGCACATCGACGACGCTGACGCTGACGACCAACAATGACGTGACTAATCGAGCGGAGCGTGAGCTCGCTGACAACACTGGATGGATTCACTCGCTTCTGTCCATCTCGTACGTTTACCCCGGTTCGATTGAGGAACCCCTGTGGCCCTTCAACTACACCATCACCGGTCGCAGCAACGTGACGCAAGACGATGTGCGCGATGCCATTACAACGACGCTCACGCACGCAGACGCCGTGTTTGTGATCCGTGGGTGCGAGGCCCGCGTGTGCACCGTGTCCACAAACACACCACTGCTGCACACGACACTGCAAGCCCTGCGCGGCCAAGGCGCCATCTTCGAAGCTGCGCTGACGGTAGACGTATCCATAGAGTCTGAGCTCATCAGCTCCCTCGAGGAAAACCTCTCACTCCTGCTCCCATATCCAGCAAACCGCATCTCTGTGTTCCGTTCCAGCGCAGGCCCACAGCATCAGCAGCAGCGGAGGAAGCGCGAACTCACCGACATTGCTGTGACTGTCTCGTTCACTGCACAAGAGGATGCATCGCTGGTGACGGCGGTGCCTGAGGAAGGGTACGAAGTACCCCGCTCCAGGTACCTGCTTCGCTTCCGCGTGAAGAACGCGGCGTCCTCCGCAAACGCGCGCGAAAAGGCGCTGGTTGCCCTCAATGCCTTGTCCATTGCTGCCGTTGACGTGACCGCTGCCGGCGATCAGGTTGGTGTGTGTGTGTGTGTGTGTGTGTGTGTGTGTGTGTGTGTGTGTGTGTGTGTGTGTGTGTGTGTTTGGAAACCACCAGCCATGACCTTGTTTCGTTGCATGTGCCGAGCATGCATTCGTTTACTTGAGGGCTCCATCTCAAAGCGGATCAAAGTGTATTCTCACATCCTGCATGCCTTTCCAACGCGCATACGATTAGGTGACGGCGGTGACGGTCTCGTACGAGAGCGACGATCGACTGGACCAGTTCCGAGCACACGCGAACATCATCTCATCAAGTGTGCTGCAGCAGGTCAGCATCGACTCTCCGCTGAGCATCACTGACGCCGTTGCAGCCACGACGGACCTTGCCAATTCGGGCGAGCTGTACGGGGTTGTGCACGGCCGCAAGCTTGTTGTTGTGTCCACCACTTCCACCTTCAATCCCAACCCGACCACGACCACGACCACGACAAACCCATCCGTCACCGTGCAGCCAGGGGCATCCACCAGGTACTGTGTGTGTGTGTGTGCGTGTGTGTGTGCGTGTGTGTGTGTGTGTGTGTGTGTGTGTGTGTGTGTGTGTGTGTGTGTGTGTGTGTGTGCGTGTGTGTGTGTGTGTGCATGTGTGTGTGTGTGTGTGTGTCTGTGTTTTACATTGTGCTTGTCTGCATTGAACGCACTGGTGTTGTTCCAGCTTGCTGCTGATTCACACACACACACACACACACACACGCACACATGTCAATGCCGTTCTGCAGTGGTGGGGAGGCGTGGCAGATTAGCGTCGGTGTGATTGGCGCACTGCTGCTGATTGTGGTGTTGGTTGCGGTTATTCTTCGTCATCGCCGACGCCAAGCCAAGCGCACTCTCGCAAACACCACAGTCCTAGTACGTGAAATGTGTGTGTGTGTGTGTGTGTGTGTGTGTGTGTGTGTGTGTGTGTGCGTGTGTGTGTGTGTGTGTGTGTGTGTGTTTGTTGCACTGGCGCCTCCTCACGTTTTCACGGCTGGCATTTCCTTCCCTCCTTCCTTCCTTCCTTCCTTCCTTCCTTCCTTCCTTCCTTCCTTCCTTCCTTCCTTCCTTCCTTCCTTCCTTCCTTCCTTCCTTCCTTCCTTCCTTCCTTCCTTCCTTCCTTCCTTCCTTCCTTCCTTCAGCAACACCGCACCGTGTCCTACGAGAACCCAGCTTACTCAGGTAGGTACGCTGAAACAGAAACTGAGAATGAACAAACAAGTACACGTGCATGCATCTGCAGTGTGTGTTGTGCTGTTGCATGTCTGCCCTGTGAACGCTTGTCACCATGCAATCAGGCACGTGGTTCTGATCACCACACCACCTTTCTCTGTGCCGCCTCTCCCTGCTCCACCTCAGGCTCCATGACGACGACTGAGAACCCGTACACGATGTATGATGATCTTGGTACAATTGGCGATGCGCAATCGACAGACTACGCCGAGCTCCCTCCGCCGTCAGTGCGAAACGGCCGCTTGCTCAGTGAGTCGTAGCAG